CAGGGGCCCGGGCAATTTAAAAGGGCCTGGGTGGGTCCCTGTGAGCCACGCAGCCACCCGACAGCCTAGTTACCGCCACGCAGGTGCTCAGGGAACCCGCCCAGGGACCTGCCGCAGCCAGGGAGGGGCACTGCATCCCCGGAGCCCCGTCCTGCACCCCAACCCCCAGCCCTGATCCCCTTCCAGCACTCCGAACCCCTCAGCCCCGGCCTGGGGGTCCCCTCCTGCACCCCCAGCTGGAGCCCTTGCACCCTAACCCTCTGCCCCACCTGAGCCCCTCCCACACTCCGAACCCCTCGGCCCCACCCCCACCCCATGGATTTTGTTCTGTGCACCAATACGGAGGTGATGTGACTCACAGGGTCATGTCCCACCTCACCTCCATATTGGTGCCTGTAAACAAATTCATTCCGCACACGGGTGGGAAACATTAGCGGGAACACGGCAGGGGGGGCCCTTTTAAATCACCCGGGCGGGCTGCAGGGCTCCTTGGCGCACAGGGTGGTACCGGCGGCCAGTCGTGCAAGTAGAAATCACTTCTTGCCGGTACTGCACTCGTGGGAGGGACACAAGGGGGGGCACATGACCCTCCACGTGACTCTGTCCCACCCCCAGCCTGCGGCCCCTACGCTCTCCCTGTCCCCTCCAACACCCCCCTTACCTGTCTACAATTTTACAACTGCGTCCGTTAAACAGGCAGTTGTAAAATGCTGCTTTGGGCCCCTGGTGCCACCCGTACTTCCAGGTGTCACTGGGGGTCCAGCCACCCCCACATTGAAAACGTCTCAGATGAGCGAAGGCTGGGGAGGACAATCCCCCGCCTTCCGGTAACACACTCGCAGCGCCTCCGTTACGCCCAAACGAAGCTTCTGCCAGCACCTGTGCCAACTCCTCTGCCATCGCCAACTCTGCCTTCGCCAACACCTCTGCCATCGCCACCTCCTCTGCCATCACCACCTCCTCTGCCTTTCCCAACTCCTCTGCCATCGCCACCTCCTCTGCCATCGCCACCTCCTCTGCCTTCGCCACCTCCTCTGCCATCGCCACCTCCTCTGCCTTCGCCACCTCCTCTGTCTTTCCCACCTCCTCTGCCATCGCCACCTCCTCTGCCTTTCCCACCTCCTCTGCCTTCGCCACCTCCTGTGCCTTTGACTGGGGCCTGACCCACATAAAACAGCCCTACGGATGCTAACGAAGCCTTTGTTTACGTTTGTTAGCATATGTATTGTGCTGTTAAGAATGAATGCCCTGGGGGGGCGGAGCTGCTGGCATGGGGCCGTCCGGTGGCCCCCCGTCTTTCCAGTGCTCCGTACCGGCTAGAAATCTCCTGCAGGTTCGGGGTACCAGGGTACCGCCGTATTGGCACTCCTGCCGGCAGCGCCGAGGCAGGCGGGCGGGCATGTGGAAGCCCTGGCCGTGCCGGAAGAGCTCGCCAAGCAGCACAGCCGGCAGCTCGCTGGGCACCAGCCAGCACGGGTGCAGCACCGCCCAGGGTCAGGCGGACCTTTCGAGGGGGTCCATTGACTGTTCTGCCCTGGGGCCCGGATTTGCTGTTGGCGGGTCTGAGAGCTGGGTTCACCCCACAGGCACCCTAAGCCCCATTGGCACCAGCTGCGTGAGCCCGGGGCAGAGGGGCCCAGTGCCAGGGACTCCATTGGGTGCAGAGCTGAGGGAGCACAGGGTACCCAGGACAGGAGCAGGGCCCCTCGGGCTCCTCATGGGCTGAGACCCCAGAGGCGGCTGCAGGGACCTGGGGCAGGAGCTGGGGGCAATGGGGCAGAGGGCGTGGGGGGCAGTGCTGGGCACGCCCAGGGTCAGGGTCGGGGCACTTACATCCGCCGCAGCTTCTTGTAGGGTGAGAAGGCCCCAGGGGGGACGGATCTGATCCCGTTCAGCTCCAGGCGTCTGCGGGGAGACAGAAAATGAACCAAACCTGCCCGTCCCTCTGGCCGCCTACTGCAGCCCGGCCTCTCCCTGCAGGGGGCGCTGTGGGGGCTAGGGTGACCAGACATCAAATGTGAAAAATCGGGACTGGGGTGGGGGGTAATAGGCACCTATATAAGAAAAAGACCCAAAAGTCAGGACTGTCCCTATAAAATCAGGACATCTGGTCACCCTAGTGGGGGCACAGTGGGGCGCTGGCTGTGGGGGGAGCTGCCCCATCCCCACCTCTCCCTGCAGGGGCGCTCTCAGCGGCGTGGGTTCGCCCTGAGCTGACTCGGCTGGAGTTCCCAACGGAGATTCGCTCTAGTTACAGTTTGGGCGAAGTCCTGGGGGAACGGGCGAGCAGGGCACAGCCCCCCGGGGGAGGCGTCGCTGGGGATCCGGGGCAACTGGCTTGTCCAAGGGCCGGCTCCAGCCTCGAGCGGCGACATCCTCCTGCCTCCTACGGCTGCCCTACGGGAGACCGTGCGTGTGCAACCGTGTGTGCACAGACGTGTGTGACAGTGCGCGTGTGCAGGGAAGTGTGCACCACGGGGCGTTCGGCAGGCAGGGAGCCAGGCCTGTGACCCCTCAGCTCTGCCTTGTCACGCAGCCCCACGGAGCCATTAACGGCAGAATCCAGCCCCGTGTGCCCGGGCCCCGGGACGGTGGGAGCAGGGGAGTGTTTGTCACCTCACCGCCCCCCACCAACCCCTCCTGCCCCGGCTGGGGGTGACCGGACCATTCGGAGTTGTCTGCTCGTGGGGACCAGGCTGGGGGTGGGATGCAGCGAGCAGCAGTGGGGGGGGGCTGAGCAGGGAGGGGGCCAAACGGGGGTGGGGACTGGGGCGGAGCAGGGCTGGGTTGTGGGCGGGGCTATGGTTGGAAGAGGCGGGACCGGGAGCCATGTGACTCACCCAGAAGGCCGGAGCAGCGGAAGTGCCCTAAATGGGGGAGGGGGCCCACCGTCACTCACCCTTACGGCCAGTAAAAAGTGAGGGGCCCTGGTCCCCTGGCCCCCGGTTCTGGTGCCAAGCCAGGAGGACCCCAGGGGTCTGGCTCGCGGTTCCGAAGCTGCGGCCGTAGCAGCGACCTGGGGGGGCCGTGACCGCTGTGCGCCCATGCCCCACATGCTCCCCCTCTGGGGCCAACAGCTGGGGGCGGGGCTGGGCGGGGGTCTGGCGGGGGGCGCTGGCGCACTCACATCTCCGTCATGCCCTCGGGCAGGTTGGCGGGGATGGCCGTCAGCCCCTTGCCGCGGCAGTCCACCACACTGTTGCTGCAGGTGCACATGGCGGGGCAGGAGCCGGACGAGAGGCTGCAGACCTGGGCGTGGGCGGCGTCCGTTTGTCCTGCCGGGGGGAGCAAAGCAGCGGCCGAGTGAGACCGGGGCACGGCGGGGCAGGGCGGGGCGGGGGCAGGGAGCTTGAGGGCGCGGCTGGTGCTGGGCCAGGCGGAGACGTGGCATCGCCCTCCCCTCACACCTCCGAAGAGCCTCTTCGGTTCCCAGGGCACCAGCCCCGCAGCCCAGAGCAGCTCCCTCCCCTGAGGCAGGGCCCCCCGGCAACCCAGAGCCCCCCACACATCCCAGACCCCCCCAGGCAGGGCCCCCCTGGCATCCTAGACACCCCCCCACATCCCGGACCCGCTCCAAGGCAGGCCCCGCC